CAATGCCATGTCTCTGAGTGCCAGCCCTGCTTCAGAAGCTGAGTTACTGCTGAGGGTCAGCAGCCCCAGGTCTCCTGGCCTGCCTCAGTATTGATCCTCTGCCCCACTGATGGTCAGGTGCTGATGCCCGCCTCCACCCTCCACATCCCGGGCTGTGTCCTCACAGGAGGGACCAAGACCTGGGCAAGTGACTGCTGGCGAGGGTGTGGTGGTGGGAGGGAGCCAGGAGACCTGGCCTGGATTTGGCTGTGACCCACTCCCCAGTGTGTGCTCTCTATTCACTACATGTACACTGTCTGGCCACCCATGCAGCTGGAAGTGCCCCAATAACTGGGATCTGTCCGAGGGATGGAGCAGAAGTGATGTGCACAACAAAGGAGGCTGGACTAGGCTGGTGCAACACTGGGGTCAGGGGTGGGGAATGGAGGAATTGCCTTGAAAAATGACATGGGAGCCGCACTGACACATGGCAGGAACCTGGTTCCACCTGGATCACCTCCCGGACTTGCTGGCTGGACCCGAAGCGGGCTGGGACCTTTGTTCTCCTTACTGCCCTTACGGATCAACTAACACCCCAGCTGCAAGCCACCAGCCTCCTCAGCAGCCCTCATCCCTCTCAGAAAACCCAAGTTCACTGGAGGCAGGACGGAGGCCTCACCTGACCATCCTCTCGCCTCAGACTGAGCACAATGCGTCTGGGTACTTAATACATGCTGTGCTCTGTGCTAAATGGCGGTTGAGGTACAAGTACCTTTATGCACCAGGAAAGCCCCATGGAAGCTGGCCTGGCTGCCTCCTCCCCAGTGCAGTCAGGCGGGCCTTCAGGGACAGCATGGGTGGGTCCTGTTTGGCCCAACTCTGCTGCCTGCCCTGGCCCCGGCCCCCCCGGAGCCCGTATGCCTACAGTGGCCCTGAGCTGCCCCCAAGGGCTCTGCCCTCAGAGACGGGTAGGACGGGCCAGGAGAGGTCCTAGTGGGGGCTGCAGCTCCCAGGTTCCTTTTCTCATCCCTTCATTCCCCACGCCAGTCCCTTCCTACCACCCTGCACCCACAAATGTGTGCTGGGGCTCCCGTCTCCTTCACACACCCCACCACAGACCATGGCTGACTGTGGGGGACGGTGCCGACGCTGAATGGCACCCAGATGCACCCTGGGCAGGCCCTGTCTGCCCCCCGCCCCATGGGAAACGCTGGCAGTGAGGGTATCCCCTGCAGCTCCTCATGTGCCAGGACAGCCTCCTAGGGCTGATACCATGTCTCCTCTGGGGCACCCACAGAGGGCAGTGCAGAGTGGCCTGCAGACCCCACCTGGAAGCAGGTACTGTAGGCTGGCCTCTATGGGTGCCAGAGCCCCACCTGCACAGGCCTGCCAGTCTAGCTCTGCTCGGCCTTGCTCAGGGACGGAGCTCCCAGCCAGGGGCTGCCCGTCCTGTCAGGAGAGCCCCACTCTCCCACCATACTGTTCTCCTTTCCCTGGGCCCCAGCGCTGCAGGCCACACCCAAGAATAACACCCCTAATTTGTTCAACAGGTGGCAGCTGACACCTGCATCCTGGCCAGTCCTGGGGGCACCCAAGCCCTTACACAGCAGTCAGAAGTAGCAGAGTCCCACTGTGGCACAGCTAGGGACACAGCTTCTTTCCAGCCTTGGTCTGCCAAGTTGTTCTGACCGCCAAGGAAGGGGATAGTCAAGATGGACAAATAGTCCTAGGAAGAGGTCCACCGAGTCCTGCGCACTGTGCTGCCTGCCCCGAGGGAGGTGGGCATGAGGTGCACAGCCCCTGTGATGGCCACTAGGCATTCCTTCACCCAGTGAAGGCACCTGGCACACTGCCACTCTGTGAGGGGGGTGCAGGGATGGGAGGAGGCTCGGCCAACCGTACAGAGAAGCCCCCAAAAGGCCACACACACACTGCCAGTGCAGGCTGGGCTGGGTGCTCCCACACAGTGCTCTGGAGGTCCGTTGACAAGCATTTATTGATTGGCCATGACATGGCCAGACAGAAGAGGTCATGCGGGCATGACAAGAGTCAACAGCCTGGGCCTATGGTCTGACGAGACGGAGCACCCACAGGGCACCCAGGAGAGCCAGCCACAACGCCACCTGCATCCACCCTCCCTGGCTTTACCCACCCAGTCAGGACCTGCTGCCGCACTGGGCAGAGGGTCAGACTGCTTCCCAGCCCGTCGGTCCCTCCATGCCACCCACCCCTGGGTGCAAGGTCAGCCCCCCTGTGACTCCTGTGTGACTCCCGACACCTCAAGCGGCTGCAATTCAACATCACCGGGGGTACATGAGTCTGGAAGTGACAAAAAAGTGCCCAAGTGCACAGACGCTCCCCCAACCTGCGAAGGAAGCAGACAAGACAGCGAGGACACGACCTGGCCCAGAGAACTGGCCACGAGCCTCTGAACACGGCCTGTTGGTTTCTAGCATTCGGATGCACACGCACAGCACAACACACAGGTCCGCAGCATGCGGCCCTGTCAGCGCTGACCACCACCAGTGTTCAGGAGGATGTAAAAGTGCCAGAGAAGTGGCCTACAGGCCAAATGCACGAGCCCCACAGCTCTCAGGGACAAAGGTCTCTCAGCACAAACACAGGAAACAGGAGCGAAGACGAAGTGCCACTTCAGCTGCCATGACCTTAGAGCAGGGGATGGAATCCCAGGGCAAAACGGTGACGAGAACACCAAGTACAGCCGTTTCACGACACTCACAGGGGCGCCAAGAAGGGCTTCGGGTAATCAGGGCTCCAGGAGGGCGGCAGGAAGCCACGAGTCCGAGAACTAACAGGAGATGTGGGAACTAACCGTGTGCTCCCAGGACCAGCTTTCACGTGACCCCCTGTACGCCAACCTTCCTGCACATTACCAGGGGATGTGCAGCCTGCCTTACTGCTTTTGTTACGTATGTGCAAATCTAAGGCTGACCTCAGAGGCTGATCAACATTTATTAACATAAAGGCCGTAAATACAGAACTCTGGGGAATGTGGACAGCAGACTGTACCCTGGACTTGGAGCCATGCTGCAAAACACAGGCCGAGCCTCGTGGCCCTACAGTGAGGCAACAGGCAGGCCCACTTGGTCACTCCTACCGTTACAAGCTGCAAGTCTCCCATACCAACCCCGCGTGTGGCCCACTCCACGCTGGGATTCCAGCCCACAGGGTGGGACCTACCAGTAAAATGCAGGACCTTTCCACATGCTGAGTAAGGTCACACAAACAGGGCGGTGACCTGTTGCCTGTAAGGACACGAGCAGGGGCTATGCCACGGAGGTCCAACACTGACCCAGCCCTTTGCCACCTGCCCTTGGGGCCTACCTACCTCAGGGATGGCTACCAGACCAGCAGGCTGAGCCCCGAGGAGGAGATGCTAACCTTGTCAAGGGGCAGCAGGGACTTCTGTTGGTCAGCCTGAGGACCGGCCTTTCTCATACTGGACGGATGGGGAGATATCTCCACCCTCAGACACAGGAAGGCTCAGCAAACATAAGGCCAGTCTGCCCAGCCACCCTGGGTTCTGGCCACAGGCAGTGCTGGTATGCGGAGGTCTGGAGGGCCTCTCTGGACATCTCACATTCACGTGGTGGGACAGGTAAGAGCTTATGAACTGCACACGGGGACTGGGCTATCCTGAGTAACTGACACCAAGTCAGGCGCTCACCCTCTGGGTAAGGCTCTCCACCAGCGCCTGATCTGGCCTCACAGCCACAGCCCTGGGGAGTGCAGCCCACCGTCAGTGGTTGCCCACCAAGGACGAGCAGGGCAGGGGGGAGCACTCCTGGGGGGCTTCAAGTTTGACCACAGCCCTGAGTGCCAGGCGCCGCCGCTTCACCTGCCGCTGCCTCACGAATACCGAGCGCAGTGCACGCAGCTGCCCCACCTCCTGCGCCGTGAAGCAAGGCTGCCTCTCTGCGAAGCGCACCACAGCATCAAAGGCCAAGGCCGCCTGCTCCCAGGCCGCCTCCTCACTGTCCTTCTCAGCCTGCTCCAAGGTCCCCATGGCCGGGGCCAGCCCTGCAGTGGCGGCATGCCCCTCTCCAGCCTCCAGGCCGGGCCCGCGATGCTCAGGGGCCAGGCTCCGATGAAGCCTGCTGCTCGGGTGGTACGGAGCCTCTCTCCCAAGCTCGAGGATGTGCGCGAAAGTCGGATCACGAGGCTTAGTTCTGAGGCGTTCAAGCTCCTCCTCAGAAGATGAGCCTTCCACAAACGGGACCGCGGGCCACAGCTTCCTCCAGGCCCTGCTGAAAATGTCACTGGGTACAGCATTCCAGGCACAGGCCACATTGAATATGGCATCATTCATGTTGTAACGGGGGTGGAAGCTCTGCAGCGTGACAGGAGGGTTGATGAAATTCCTCATGAAATCCCTTCGAATGCCCTGGTCCATGGGCTGGATCAAGGAAGTGACACTGGCAGGCAGAAAAATGGTGAAGATGTTGTCAGACACCAGCTCGGACTCCTGAGGGTGGGCCCGGGAGTGGTCCAGCAGGAGGATGGCTTTGCTGTCTTCAGGCAGACCTGTCGTTCTGAAGTGCTCCTTCACCGAAGGGACAAAAATGTGATGGAACCAGTCAGAAAAAATCTCCTTGTCCACCCACACGTTACCCTGGGCCTTGTATGCCGCTGGCAAGTGCTGGATGCCTTTGAAAGCCCTGGGGCCGCTGCATTTTCCAATCACCAAGGGTTTGATTTTATGGGAGCCTGTGGCATTGGCGCACATTAGGACAGTCAGCCTGTCCTTGTTCTGTTTGACACCGGGTGCCGCCCCACCTTCTGGAGGGGGGTTTGGCAAGCACCGCCAGAAGAGGCCGGTCTCGTCGGCATTGTAAACCTGCTCAGGGGACAGGCCATGCTCAGCAGTTAAGCTCCGAAAAAAGCTACAGAACTGCTCGGCTGCTTGGTGGTCAGCCACCTGCTTTTCACTGGATGCGTCCAGCTTCTTAATCCCATGCCTGGCCTTAAACCGCCAAAGCCACCCACCAGAAAACACGCAGGGCTCAGTTAAGTGCATCTGCTCGTAGAAGTCCTTGGCCTTCTCGATGAGCATGGGGCCCGAGACAGGCACGCCCTCAGCACGCTTCACCAGGAACCACTCGTACAGGACACGGTCCAGGTGCTCCAGCTTAGGCGTGTGCAGGGTGCGGCGCCGCTCCAGGGCCTTGCTGGAGTCGGAATTGGCAAAGAAGCGGAGCAGCTGGGCCTTGTGGGCCTTAATGTCGTATAGGGTGGACATGCCCACATTGTACTCCTGCATGAGCGCCCGCCTGCTCTCGCCCCTCTCCAGGCGTGCACAGATGTCCATCTTCTCCTTCAGGGTCAGCACCACCCGCTTGCGCTTCTCCCCGGGGCTCTTCCCAGCAGCTGGCTTGGAGGCCATGTGGAGGGTGGCTTGTCGCAGTGGCAGGGGAGGCCCAGCCAGGCAGCTCCCTTGTCACCTCCTTCCACGTGGCCTGCACCGTTTCTTCAGCTAACCCTGGCCACCAAGAGCCACAGCCCTCCTTTGTTCCACCCTTCAGCTCCAGCAGCCACGGCTGTCCCTTGTCTCCTGGGCTCCCAGCAGCGTGGCTGGCTCCTGGTCCACTCGGCAGGGGAAGTCTCACACCGCCCCTGAACTTCTCCACAGCGGGAACTCTGGCCTTCCCTGCAGGAGCTTGTGGCCCCTCACCCTCTCATGCACGGACCAGAGTGGAGGGGCCTCTGGTGCTGGTTCCAGCAATGGAGTTTCTACTGTCTGAGCGGCAGCGCCTCCCTCCCGGCTTCACCACGCTGCCTCACACATACAGTGCTTTAGGAACTGGAAAACAGGAGAAGAAAGCAAGCCGTTACAGAGCATGTACCAAGGCCACTGTAAGTAAGCATGTCATTATTTTAGACATCCTGAGAAGCTGCAACAGAAATAAATGTTGCAGAGACGACCAATACATGAGCTGGCCAGCAAATGACTCGGTGTGTGGGCAGCTGCCCAACCCTACCCAGCCCCCGGGCTGCTAGGCACAGACTCTTTCCTGCTTCTACCAAGTGACCTGAGTCATTATGGTCCCAGCCGGACAATTCCATCCTTCTATAAACGTTGAAAGTTTCCCAAAGCACCCACACGCCTTCCTGCGCCACCGTGGACACATCCTTACAGGCCTGGTAGTCTGTCACCGCCCCTGCCCACACTTTGCCAGGGGGGACACACGTCCTCCAGCCTGTGAGGAGGGCAGAGCTTCTGCCCTCACCAGTTTGCTCTGACGGTCCTGCTTCTCCCCCAAGCCAGCTGTGTCCCCTCACTTCCTTCATGACTGGCCTCCAGCCCTCTCACACCCCTCTGCCCAGACAGACTAGACAGGAACTCTGCACCCACCTCCCACCCAGACCCTTATTTTGGCTGCCTCTTCCAATTTCACGCAAGTGGGGAGACCACAGGATTACTCCTGTATGAAGCACAAAATGCAGCCCTTTGAGACTATAACACAAGAAAAAATAAAGTTTTTTCAAATGTAGGAAGAGCCCCAAATTCAAATTCTATCTGGCTAGGTCTGGGTATATAGCCTCCTTTCGCTCTCCCAAGTCAGTTTCTTGGTCTGCAAAGTGCAGCAGCTGGTTTTTACGGACCCCGTTTTCAACCGACTTACTGGCTGTAACAGGGCCTCTGTACTGCTTGGCCCTGTGGGGAGCAGGGGGAAGTAGAGGCCATAATCCACCCTTGAGGAGACAATTAATATGCAACACCTTAGAAACCAGGAGGAAACACGCGGCCCCCATAACTGGAAAGGGACTGACTCTCAGCAGAACAGGAGGGAGGAGGAGGGGCTTGGGATGGCTGGGGGGAGGATCCGCGCCAGAAATGGGTTCATCAGGGACCTTTCCTCGTGCTTGACATGCTGTGTGTGCAGGCTGATTCCAGGCCGCTGAAAACACAGTAGCCTGGCTCACGAGATATGTTCCTTTAAAAATGAAATTCAGGCATTACTTCTGAAACACCTTCTTAAACCAAAAGGTACCCTAACGTGCCCAACAAAGCAGGTGGTTTCCAGCCTAAGCACTGACACTCAGGCCCAGGGGACACACAAAAAACTGGGAGAGGGCGTAAGGGGACAGAGGTGGGCAGGAGAGGAAAGGAGGCGCCCAACCAGTACGACCCCTTACCGTGTTAGGGGAACTAGCGGACTTCCGAAAGAGCCAGAGGGACTCGGGGGAGTGAGGAACTACCTTTTCATGGAAGCCCCGGTAGTGTGGAAGGTGTCGGGGACGATGAGGGGTAAATACTCAAAAACACGTACTCTGGAGACCGACGACAGCTGGAGTCTGACGCGAGGGGCGAGGCGGCCGGGACGGGCCGCTGGGCGGGGCGGGGACTGGGGGCGCCCCGCCGGCGGCTCTCGGGGCAGGCGGGTGGTCGCACAGAGCCGCCTCCGTGGTGCAGGGGGGCGTCCCGGGGCTGTTTTAAAGGCGCTTCTATCCCGGGGACCACGTGCGAGGTGACAGCTCAGTCTGGCGCCACTGCCAAAACCAAAGCGAAGGGGTCGTCAGGCTGTGCCTGGCTCCTTCCGGGAGGAAGGGGCCCCCGGGGCCAACCCCTTCTGCAGGCTGAGGGCGGGCGGCCCCCACGGGGCGACAGCGGAGGGCCGGACGCCTCGAGCTCCCGGGGCCGCTGCCCAGCCGCGCAAGGCCACACTGCCCACTCCCTCCCGGGAACACTCACCTCGGCCCGGAGCCGCCACCACCGGCCGGATGTCCCGCTCTGCCCTCTGCCGGCCCGCCCCGCCGCCCTCCCAGTCACTTCCGGGGCGCTCTAGGCCGCCCGGAGGCCCCGCCTCTCTGTGGCCTCGCTGGGGATGGCAGGCTCGTTGTGACCGG